AAATAATGTGTTAAACTGTAAAAACAGGACACTGCCTGAAGAGCCAAATGAAGTCAGAAACTTTAATTGCTGTAAGTATCTCTATACCACTATAACCTCTTACCTTACTACAGTAGCAATTAAAGCATCTGATTCTGAAATCTTAAAATACACTTGATAATTATTATTTAGAATGTATTATTTGTTGAATTGACTGAATTTATTTCTAAAGCTGCACTATAGACCTAGTGACTTTAACATAAATAAAAGTGCTTATTTCATTCTTTTAGGAGCTGCACAGGAGTTTGCTGTGGGGCTTCTTCAGCTTAACTGGTTTATCTTTGAAAGTATTCATAGACAGTACAAATCTTGCTTTTATTTCTTGTGAAACAGAAAATGAAAAAGTTCTGTAAAAACATATGAATCTGAAGCTGTCAAAAGTTCTCTTGAGCAAAATTTGACCTCACAAAATGAATTCTGTCCTCTTGGAAAATATTGTTTTGTTTTCATGAAGCTATATGGAGAACAGATTTGTAATCTAATTTGAATCACCTACCCTTCCATTTATATTCATTTCTCATATTGTATTCTGAAATATGATTAACAGCTAACTAATACAACATTCATAAAAATTCATTAAAATGTATTTACCTTAACTAATGAAGTAGTTTACAACTCTTGTAGTAATTTATGAACAGCTTTCAAAGCAAGCTTAGCTTCAGATTGGAGCTGCAGAGACATTTATTATAGTGTTTTGGGTTTGTAGGAACCTAAATGTATGCTTTTATTTCTTGCAGAAGTGTAATTCTGCTTTGAGAATAATTTTTCATTCTTCTCTCTGTAACATGGCAAACAAAACCTAAATAAGTGTCTTCTCTGTGTTTTATATCCTGAACTGAGGAGACATTGATGTTAAGGGGCAAGAGAAGTTCTAAGTGGAAAGCAGGCATCAGGAAATACGTTTTTGCTTTTCTTGGAGCAGTCACAATAAAAGGTTGCTTTTATTAAATCTGAATGTGCCTTCTTTGGGAACTGTTTAATTTTTCACAGTCCAAGGAGCAGGTAAGGAGGGAGGGTCTCACAAGACTCAGTGTTCCACAGTTTGAAATACTTTGGATGAGGAACATTTGAACAGAGGACTAGTTTGGGAAATAGTAAAATAGGAAGTAAGTAAGTAAGTAAATAAATAAATAAAATAGTTTTTTTTTTTTTAAAAAATTATCCTGTTGTATGGAAGGGTAAAAATGGACCTTTTTGTTTGTTTGTTTTTGTTATTGTTTATATTAGCTTTGGAAACAGCAGATTCGTGTGCAACTTAGCTGTTGGCTGAATTGTGAATGTTGGGAAATTCTTTTTGTTTGGAAACTATTCCTTCAGTTTGAATTATGGGGAGAAGAAGTATTTGGAGGTGGGAGGTGCGGATGATTACAGTTTTCTTTAATGAAGCTCTTGGTGTATGGGAGGGAGGTGGTGAATCATTTATATTTAATTAGCCAGAGTGTAAAGTAAGTTTCTTATTTAGCCCTGCTTGAGCATGCTGGGTTGGACCAGGTAAGCTGCATGGGACCCTTCCAACCTCATCCATTCTATAGTTCTGTGATCTGTGTTCATTTCAGTTACCTGCACTTCTGCTTTCCAGTCTGTTGACCTTTCTAGAGTGCTAGACAGCCAAGGCTGAACACAAGTCAAATTCTAAACTGTTGTACATTTGGTTAGTAAAGGAAAAGCACTCACTGAGAAAGTTGTCTGAACCTGCCACGTTCACCTGTAAGATTTTTAGTGTCTTAGGAAAAATGTAATTTGTCAACACAATGTTTAATTTAAAACAGTGCAAGAAAAGTAAGCTTGACTGAACTTAGTTATTATTAATTCTGGAGAATTTCATATTATAACAACATGTTTCTGCTGCTGAGGGCAAGGCAGTTCATTTAAATAGTATTGAACTGGAGTATTAAAGAGGAGCTATTTAGTTATAGGCTGTACATCTTTAAAGAGTTTTTATTGATAGTGAGAACAGTCTATTTTCTTTGATTTTGTTTCAGTACATGCAATAATCATAGAATCACCAAGGTTGGAAAAGACCCACAAGATCACCCAGTCCAACAGCATGCAAGATTGCAGGAGGTTTACACAAGTGTAATGTTGGAGTACCTTTAATACCTACTGTTACAGCAGGCTGTACACAGTATCCTAGGCAGATGTAATATGTTATGTCTCATTCTGTTCTATCTGAGCAACCATTAAAACTTTTTTAACAGGTGTCCAGTCTAGCCTCCTGCCTGAGTTCTTCAGTCCCCAGGAAAAACTGTTCTTGGCAGGGAGAAGTTCTGCAGCCCTAGAGATTCACTTTCTTCCATTTAATCTGGAAAAACGTTACTGCACTGTCATTCTGGTTAATGAAATGGTAAGAATGGAAACTAAGTTCTTTAAGTGGTTTTCACATGATATCCTAGTCAATTAAGATCATTTCTGTAAAGCTTTCAGATGTTTGAGGTGATCTATGCCCAGACTTGCAGAAGTGAAAATATTTTCATTTTCTGTTTGTTTGTTTGTTTGTTTGTTTGTTTGTTTTGGTTGAAGTACAATATTCATGAAATTCTTTCAGGTAAATGTTGCTTAAAAAGATTAGAAGATTGCATAAGGTTGCTAGTTTTAGCAAAGAAATTTAAACCAAAATTCACCGCTCTTTTATATCCAGAAAAGAAATTAAAAGCATTTGCCTGTTGTACATGAATACTGACCTTTTTCTTGATTCATGTAATCTTTGTTTTTAAATGAAATTGATTTAATCAAATTACCAAGACCTATTTTTATCAACTTTCAGAGCTTAAAATTTGCAATACAGCTTTTTTGATGTTCCTGTAACACTATATCTCAGTGGCACAACCTTCTTTTTTTTTCTCTTTTCACCTCTTTAACCTCTTTGCTGTGTTTTGCCATCAGTTATCAATGTTTTTCAACATCCTGTTGTTTATCTAATCCTCCTTTATGTGTGGTTGATCTCAAGGTTTGCGTTCTGTTTCTTACATCCATAATATAAACTCTGTGTTTCAGCTTTTGATCTGTGCCATTACATGTATCTGCTATTCTGTGTTCCTTTTTTGTGTGTGTGTGTGTGAGATTTGTAAGAATATATCCAGAACTACATGACTTATTCTTTTTCTCCTGCAGGTTCTTAGCTTCCATGCTTTTCCTTAATACAGAGCAAGACATTACTGCTAGTGTTCCGTATTTGTATGTTTGGTGTTTCTTTTGTATTGTTTAACCAGGTTATAGCACCTGGCTATTTTTATTTTTTCCTTATTTTTAAAGGAAAATAAGACCAATACAATGATGCTCAAACTTGTTTATCTGACCCTATTTGATATTTGAAACCACTGGCAATTTTTTTTTTTTTTTTTTTTTTGAGAAAGAAAGCCATGATTGGAAGCTTTAAAGAATACACAGTTCAGTTGTGGTTTAACTCCAGTAGGCATTCCTCTCTGCTATAGGATGAGGCAGAGAATCAGAAAAGTAAAAGTGCAAGAACTCAGGGATTGAGATAAAAGGCAGTTGAAGAGATAAAGCAAAAACTGCTTGTGCAAGCAAATCAAAATAAGGAATTTGTCCACTACACCCCATTGACAGGCAGATGTAAGCCTGTCATACCCAGAAAAGTAGGGCTCATCGTAGGTAACAGTTTCTTGGGATGATCAATGACATCACTCCAAATGTCCTTCCTTCTCCTTTCCCTCCAGTTTTATTGTTCAGCGTGGTGCCATATGGCATGGAATATCCCTTTGGCCAGTTTAGATCAGCTATCCTTATTCTATTGCCTCCCAGCAACTTTTGCACCCACATCTTTACACTGGCAGGGAAGCACGACAAGCTGGAATGTCCTCAGCTCTGTTTAAGTGCTGCTCTGCAGCAGCTAATACAACTCTGTATTGTTACCAGTATTTTCATTAAAAATCCAAAACATAACATCATATAAGCCTCTACAGAGAAAATTACTTCTATCCCATTCAAAATCAGAACAAATTCTCTTGAGTTTCTTGAAAAACAAATTATCTTGAGAGAGATATGTTCTGTTAATGCCAACAGTCAGACAGTAAGCGTGTGCCATAGCCTTAACTTACTGAGACTGTAGAATCACCTGCACAGAAGTTATATAAAAGCCATTATGTCAGAACAAAGCTATTTTTGTTCTTAGTTCTTTGAAAACAAAATCAACGCAGTGCTCAGCATCATTCAAAAAGATAATTTTTTAGTGGAAGAAATAATTATCAATGTACCCATTAATGAGCTGTAGTTTCGCATCTTGAACTTTGTCTGGAGTTCTAGTCACTCCAGTTAACAATATAATAGGAAACAAGGATTAAAAAAGAGAAGAACGACCAGAAGTATGCAACAGTTTCTTTGTGGTGGAAGATACTAAAAAGACATTAATTTCGTGTAGTTAAAAAAGAGATGTTTTAAGGGACAGGAAAGGTGCACAAAGCTAGAAATATTTTGAAGAAGGTTGATAGATTGTGGTACGAGTTAATTCATTTGATTTGGTTTGTAGCCTTTTATATACAGTGATTAATTTATGCAAGTCAACTGTCACAGAACACTTTGGGTGATATAGGTTTTAACTAATTCAAAGGAAATTACACAGACTCATGAAAGTTAGATCAATTATTTTTTATTCAGTGTAGTGATCTGGATGTAGTCTATAAATAGGGAGTACTCTAACCTACTAGTTTCTGAGAGTATGTCTGAGAAGGATCATTTTCTACATGTTATGATTTTATAATCTTTCTTTACAAGTCTGTTATATGGCATTCTCCCACTTTATTTTTTTATTAGCAGAAGTATATACCCTGATTGAAAATTTGAGTCTCATGCTACGCTGGGAATAGAACCTGAAAAATAAGTTATTTATAGATAGAATAATAGAATAATTTAGGTTGGAAAAGACTCTGAGATTATCAAGTCCAACTGTTAACCAACCACTGCCAAGTCTACTGCTAATCTTTGTCCCTAAGCTTCAGATCTTTTAAATACCCCCAGTAATGACAACTCAACTTCTTCCCTGGGTAGCCTGTTCCAATGCTTCACAAACCTCAGTTAATAACTTTTTCCAAGTATCCAACCTAAAACTTCCCTGGCACAACTTGAGGCTATTTCCTCTTGTCCTACCACTTTTTGCTTGGGAGAAGAGACCAACCTTCACCTCACTATTACCTCCTTTCAGGGAGTTGTAGAGAGTGATAAGGCAGTGAAGAGAAGAGAAATGGAATATGCTAGTAGGAAGAAAGCAAATTAGAAAGAGGCATGATCAGAGCTATGGGAAAGCTATACTTCGGGTGAAAGGGAAAAAGAACATTTCTGACAGCCTCTAAAGTGTTGAGGATTGTCCCAAGTGGTGCTGTAGAAATACCTGAAATTAGACACCTGGATCCTAGTAACTTTTCATAACAGTAATTGATTTTGACATAGCAGGAAGCTCTAATGTCTTTGAGTAACCACTATGATGACCTGTATGGTAACTTTCCTTAAGCTTAGCTAAGATGAAACCGCAATCTAGTTGTCATGATTTAGCTCAACTGTATACAACTATGTAGTAATGACACAGGAAGATCTTGACACAAGTATATAGCTTGGCTTTCTTAAGTATTGTATATATGGCTGCAATATTTCAATTGCTTAATTTTCTCACTGACAGACAGTTGTAGCTGTATGGCAATCAACTTGTATCATGTTCAAGCGACTTCAATAAATCAATAAATCACTTAATTTTACTTTTCCTATCCTTTGTAGCAAATAGGCAAAAACAGTAGTAAGAATGTAGCTTCACTGAGATCCAAATCACTAATTGGATTTGACTCTCCTTAGGAATCTGTCATTGCATTGTTTATCCATATTAAAAGCAAGAACCTAAACTGTTACTAGCTTGTTGGCCTACTTAAGATGCAGAATTTTACGTTGTTAAATTTTCTAATCTGTAAGTGATGGCACAAGTTGTTTAACACTTCTTGAAGATGTGTTTCAATATTTCTTTGTTTTCTTTGATTTCAATGATAATAATATATGAATTCATAGTTAAAAATTGTCACGCAGGACTTCTATAGCTAAGTCGAAGCTAATAGCTTGGTGTCATCAGCAAACTTGCTGAAGGTACACATGAGCTCATCATCAGTGTCACTGATGAAGATATTGAAGAGCACCAGTCCCAAGACAGACCCCTGGGGGACACCACTTGCCACTGACATCCACCTGGATGTAGTGCCATTCACCACAACCCTCTGTCTACCGCCTTCCAATCAATTCCTTATCCAGTCCCCTCAAATCCATATATCTTAAATTTAGAGATAAGCATGTGGGAGGAGGACCACATCAAGGACTTGCACAATGCCACAATGGAAGGCCACCAGTTTGGTCAGGCACGACCTTCCCTTGGTAAAGCCATGCTGGCTGTCTAAGATCACCTGCTCATCCCTCATGTGCCTTAACATGTCTTCTAGGAGGATCTGTTCCACAGTCATCTCAGACACTGAGATGAGGCTCACTGGCCTGTAGTTCCCTGTGTCCTCTTTTCTCCCTTTCTTGTAAATGTGAGGTGATGTTTCCTTTTTGCCAGTCCCTGGAGACTTTGTCCAACAACCACATCTTTTCAAATATGAGGGAGAGTGGCTCAGCAACCACATCAGCCAGCTCCTTTAGGACCCAAGGGTGTATGTCATCTGGCCTCATGGACTTGTATACATTCAGTCTCATGAGGCGGTCTCGGACTTGCTCTGCGTTTACAGCAGGGGGGATTTACTCCCCTAGTTCCCACCTGGAGGTTCAGGAATGCAAGCTTCAGGGACATGAGAAATACAGAAATCCTGTCTGCCAGTGAAGACTGAGGCAAAAAAAAACCTCATTTAGTACCTCAGCTTTCTCCATATCTCTTGTATCTAGTTCTCCTTTCTCATTTACCAAAGGAGGTACTCTTTCTTTGACATGCCTCTTCTGGCCAGTGTAACTATAGAATCCCTTCTTGTCTTTAACATCCTTCGCCAAGTTCAATTCCATCTGTGCCTTGGCTATCCTAATCCCCCTCTCTTCAAGTCTGGACAGCATCCCTGTATTCTCCCCAGGTGACACACCCTTGTTTCCACAGCTGGTACAATCCCTTCTTTTCCCTCAGTTTGACCAGCAGCTCCTTGCCAAGCCATGCTGGTTTCCTGCCTCCCCTGCCTACTTTCTTATTCTGAGGGAAAAAGAGCTCTTGTGTTCTCAGAAAGGCATTCTTAAAGAGTAGCCAGCTTCCTTCCAGTCCTTTGTCTCTAAGGACAGCTTCCCAGGAGACCTCAATCAACAATTCCTTAAACAACCTTAAGTTTACTCTCCCTGAGTTCAGGGTCCTGACCTCTTTGCCAAGCCCCCGTTCCTCAAGATCACAAACAGAAAACAGGATTTACATGTTATGTAGATCAAAAAGGAATGTATTTTCAAAGCAGGGAGAGAAATGGGGAAATTTGTTCATACATATAAGCATGTTGTTGTCAGCAATGATAAGAAAAGTAATTGGTAGTAGAATTGGCAACCTAGCAACCAGTACCTTCATGAAATTAGTTGTACATGCTGTGAGTTTGTTAATAGTCCTTATGGAGCCAAAATGCTGTATCAAACAGGAATAATTTCTCTTTAAATTGGCTCCCAGGAGTGGCTATTAGTTCATATGTGGAAAACCAATTTTACTGTAGGATTCTTTAATCCCTGTTAAGGAAGATTTCTCTGAACTCTTGAACCAAGAAAGGAGAGAAAGTGCCATGAAAATTGAATAGGTTTCCTTCTGCTGGGTCAGAAACATAACTGCAATGTTGACAGCCTTAGTGTAAATATTTGATGAAGCCTGGAATAAAATAAAAAACATACTCATCTTCTGTTATTGACCAATATTAGAGAGAAAAAATTTCATAGTTTGGCAGATGAACAAAATGATATAAAGGTTTTTTTCCCCTCATATATGGAATGCAGAATAAATGACTGATATGCATTTTTAAGGCAGGATTTTATGGAATGTTGTGTATGGGAAATATAAGAGATGACCTTCTGTGGGAAGTTATATGCTTTGTTACAGCACCATTTGATCCCCTACACTGCAATCAATCAGTTAAGTGATCCAAAAAAAATTTGCAGTAATTAAAAAATGCAGAAATTAATAAAGCAATAATATTATATGTACTAAATCTCCTAGTAAGTATATAAGTACCTAATTTAGATATTTTTAGTTTTGGGATGTCCTTTTTGTAACTTCAAACTGTGCTTTATTGAATTTTCTTATTTTTTTTTTTAGTAATACTTTTTTTCTATTTCAATTGACCCTTTTTAATTTTTTTTTTATTTCTTCAATGATTGAAAGTGTTATTTCTCTGATCATTAATTTATACTTTTCTTCATGACGAATTACTGTTTTTCTTTTTTTTCTAGGCCATGTTTATGTTTGCTTTGAAGTTCCTATGAGGCTTTAATTATTTTTGATGAATTAAGTGAGATTTGTTAACTTATTTTTTTCTTAGTGGATAATGTGTACCAGATGCTAGCCTGCTTTGACTTCCGCTCTTGTTTGCTTTCTTGAAAAGTGTTACTGGCTCTAAATTACAGTTCTTAACAGTGAAAAGCAATCAAAGCAACTGGTGTACATGTTTAAATATATATGGCTATAGCACATAATAAGAATTTACCATTATATATATATGGTTCAAAGTATTCTCATTCAGTTAAAATATATTGAAAAGGGTTCATCTCGTTGAATTTTTTTATTTTTCAGATACAATAATTAAAGAAACATGATTATCATACCAGGGTTCGAAACAATAATTTGCTTTTATTTGAGCATAGTTCTAAAATGATGGTTCTTCCAGAATTGCAAATTGATTATGTGTTTCTGTGTTTCAGATTGGAGAATTTGTATATCTTGTAGAAGGAGCAGGTGACATACCTTTGCCTTCAGAACTGCTTCCAATGGATAGTCCAAATGTTTTGCATGTTAGCAGTACATTAGAAGGTAAAGTAAAAGTAAATGGATGGTGGGAGAGAAAAATAGAGCAAATCAATCTACTTCACAAATATTCTTTAGTTCCTAGCCATTTTTGCTAAAATTCATTAAATATATCTGACATAAGCAGTTGTTTGTGTAACTATGCAGTGTAACTATGAGACATTTGTTTTAATGTTGTCTAGTACATTCTCCTCAGTGCAGAAGTTAGCTAGTTTTTTAGCTATTGTATCCAACTTCTGTGTAAAGTTGTTTTCAATATAGTTTATATGAATATCTTCTCATAATTTCTCCTATTTTCTACTTCAGAATGTAGGTTGTAATCAGATATACCAGGGCAAGTCCTATTTGACTAGTCTTTCTAATTTTGTAATGTTTTGTATACAGTATTGTGATTTTACAGATACAGTTTTATCTTCACCCAGTGATAAATTACTGTCATTTCTATTTCAGAAAAGAGTAGCTGTTATTTGAAATACATATACTTTATGTTCCGAGACTAAAGAATGTGATGTACATTAGGAAGTTACATAACTGTTCTTCCTGTTGCTTGTTAAGAAATGTTGAAATGTCTGACAGTAACTAACCTGGAAATGATCATTACATATATGGTGTATTTCATTGATTGTGATTGAGACATACTTCTCCATGACTGATTCTTAGATGTTTTTGGGTGAGCAAATTTTAATATGTTAGAGATTTTTTTTTTCCGAAGAGGTTCTCTGATAGGACAGATTTAATATGGTAAAAAATCAAAGATGACACATCTAGGTCAAATAAGACATTTATGTAACTTGAGACAGTTTCTATGCCACTTCTTCTGAAGATCCTCAATATTTTGTATTTAAGGATTTTAACCATTCTTATGAAAAGAGAAAGGAAAAGCCTGGATTGTGTAATTGATTATAAATTCATTTTACCTCAAACTAAAATCTCTTCTATGCTTGATATAAAAATATTATAGTGATTATATGCTAACAGTTTTTACAACATACTCAAACCTAAAATAATCAAGGTCTCTTGCACCCTTATGTGCGAGTTATGCAGAGGCTGTTCTTGTATAAGCAGTTAATTCAAGAGTCCGGCCATTCTGGATATCATGAAATAAAAACCACTATCAGAGCTCAAAACAACTGAACAGTTGTAGTATGTTACAGTCTTGGTTTTCAGTAGCCATATTTTCTTAATTCTGCTTTTTTTCTGTTTTCAGTAGGAAAGTCAGTGTTCTACAGATACTCATTGACAAGACACAGAAATAGATCTCCATTATGAATAGCAGTGATATGTAAAACATGTAATGTGCTCTAGACTCTACCTGGAAATTTCTAGTTATTACAAGCTCTTCCTTGCTTTTAACCCTAGAATTAGTCTGCTCAGGATCACATTCGTGGGACCTTCTTATCTTGTGATCTTCATATCTCAGCCATTTTAAGCCACTTTTGGCTGAGATTCAAAGAAAGCCGCTGTTGAGAATATTTGAATTTGTGGATCAGCTCGACATTGTAACAAACATTCACTGAAAAAATAAAAATAAAGAGACATACGTCAGTTATAAAAACTTCTCTGCTATGAATCTAAAGCTAAACAGAACAGTGCAAGATGATTTTCAGTTATAGCATTTGCATGAAATAGCAGAAATCCATTTTGCTCTTAAATGTAATTTGTCTCCAATCCTTTTCTGTAAGGGGTTGCCTAATAAGATAAAACATTCATTTTCTAGGATCGTTTTGTACCACTGTGTGCACAAAGATTCTATCACACACTTTTCCTTCCAAGACTGTTTCTTACCACTAATATTTTTATTTGGGAAAGTGAAAATGTTTGTTTGATTTTAGTCAAGTGCACATGTGTGAGGGATGAGTAAATATTTGTTGCTGTTTAGTTCAGAGAGCTTTGATGAGAACTGTGGATCTCAAAGCAATGTATTTGGAAAAAAAAATTGAATGTTACCATCTCTAATTAGAATTACATTGCTAGTAGTTCCTTCTTGTAGGGATGCAACATATTCTACAGGGATAAAAGGGTAGTTGTATCTTTTAGGTAGCAGAAAGACTTTTTTTTTTAAAGTTTTGCTACTATTGTAATAGTTTTAAACTGGTGTAGGATTTTTGAATTTTCCATTTGGATTTCAATTTATGTTAATTTATATTTCCCTAGTAATAATAACAAATAAATTATAAGGGAAGTAAATAGATTAATAGCATATAAATGAATATCGAAGGAATTTTGTGTTCAGGCTTTTCTTTGCAGGTTAAGGATTTTAAGTGCTCTAGTACACTTAACGATACTTGTTGTCTTTTTTTTTTTTTTTTTTTTCCCATGTGCTTTTATTTAAATAGGTCCAAGTGCAGTAGAGCCAATTTTATATTTGAAATGTAGACTCGGACAGACTCTCGAAGAAAAACTCAGGATTCCACTGATCAATGAATCAAGAGAAAGAGCTCTGGCTATTGCTGCTCAACAGCAGATGTCAGCTATTGAATATAAAAGAAGAAAGATGACAGGAACTCTGGGTAGCAGTAGTGTCAGAGCTGCAACTGCATTGCTAGGGCTGTCCAGAATAGAGGTGAGAAAAATCAGTAATCTGGTCCTGGAATTAATTAGTTGTTCTTGTTTTTAGGAATGAATTTTTAAAATGAATGAAGTTTCAGGAAATAGTGTAATGGAGTTATGTTTTTTTACACATTCTGTAATCTGACAGTTACTAATCCTCATTGCCCTCAGACTCTGCAGAAGCTACTTTCTCACTCATGCTATTAAGAAGTGCTTCCTTTAAGAAATCTTTTGCTGCTGTTAAACGGAACATTGATATTTTATTTCAGTTATCTTCTGAAAAATATAAATTGATTAAAAAAGATTTCATGTTCTATGTAATACATTGTAATTATCTGTATTAGCATTCTTTCTTATGCTCATGAAAATTCTCAAATGGATTTTTTTATATTTACTTTTTATAAGAACGGACTTGTCTACATGAAGAATAAAATGATGAACAAGAAATACTTTTTCTCTTTTTGCAAATAATACACAATAGTTTTGGAAAGCTACAAATCTTTCTTAAACTATAGCTCCCTATCCCTACGTAATTCCTAGATAGTGATATTTTCCCAAGAAATCAACATCTAGAAGCAAAAAAATTCTCCCTTGATAGTTCTGTAAACATTCAATTACTATTTGTGAATAAATGTATAATAGCGATAATGCCAAACCAAACTTTTCTCTTACACAAAATTAAAATATAAATTTCTATGCATTTTGATAAAACTCTGTTTTTTTGTTTTTTTGTTTTTTTAAATTATTTAATTTCCCATGTGGCAGATTGCTGAGAAGCTGTATATTATTTCAGTTTTCCATTTGGACATTTCCTTAAATAGGGTTCCCAGTGCTGCATGATTCCCAGTGCTACGGAAGAAAATTTTTCCTAGTGTCCTTGATATTGCTAAATGTGTGTGTTTTGCTTACAGATAAATTTAAAAAGTAATACAGAGGAAATTAAATGAGGAAAGTAAATAGTAGGTTTAATATGTCATACGTTTGTCACGGGACAGGGATTGTAACCATATAATCTGGACTCAAATATTTTGCTTTTGAGTTGTTCCTAGTATGCTGTTTATAAACTTTTAAAAATTGAAGTCCTTTAATATTAGAATCACTCAACAGTACTTCAACTGCTGTGAAGCTGTGAATTTATTCAAAACAAAACATAAAAGGAATGTTCTTTTTGCCACTAAGTATGCTAAGATCTAATGTGAGTGCTAAAATTAATTAGACTGTAGAACAATGGAGGACTATAAGTTATGAAATGTGTAATGATAGATACTAACACTGAATCATGTGAGAATTGAAAATAATGTTTAAAAAGAGGTGTGTTCTCCATTTACAGAAAGTATTTTAATTGTTCATGAGAAATTAAATGAAGTACTTCTGCTATACACTGCTGTAGACAAGAATTCATTCAAAATGATTTTTCAGTATAGAAAGTCACTATGCAGATAAATTTCTGATAAGTGTTCCTATTTGTTCTTTTTGTCATGAATTATTACTTACTGTCTGTATAAAATTGACATTCAAAGTTCTGGTGAAATTTATTGAAGAAACTTTTTGTTTTGGAAGGGAACTTGTGTTCTGCCACTTAATTTGGAGCTGAACTAAGCTTCTGTGTTTGTTGTCTAAATAGGCCCTCCCCAATTCCTGAATGAAAAATACCCTCTCCAAAGCTCCCATGGTTTGATGAATTGTTTAGGCTCATTAAATCCCTTGGGAGAAATATGATAGGTTGGAGAGAAATCTAGAATTTCTGCTGGATATCTAGCACTCTCTTTTTCATTTCTTTTACACCTCTGTACCCACTTTCTACAGGTATACATTTTTTATGTATTGGATGGAGAGAATGAAAATTGCTCTTACATTTCTACTAGTTCTTGGTCTACTTGTATTTGTAAAATTGCTGTAAATAATTGCATGTTTTTCATTTTTATTAAACTGTAAGTTTCACTCATCTTTACTTAAGTCACTTTCTTTTCCTTACTGGAAAAAAAAGAAATCTATTTTTGTTGTCTTTGATTATTAGAGTAACTAGAATTACTAACTTTGTTGAACTTACAATTAATCTTGATCATTGCAAATATAACTTGTTAACAGATCCAAAATTGCAGTAGTGGCCAAGTTGTATATTAAATAATGGCATTATTTATGTAATGCTTTCTGTCAGGTGTCTAACTTAATTTTTGCTATGAGATTTAAATGTGTATTTGGAACTTGCTTTTTTGTACTGTGCTAAATTTTACTAATATGTTTCATGCTGTTGATTAGCAGTGTCAACAGGAGGAGATTATTTGTCCATAAGTTAATTTTAAATCTTTGATTTCTCAAATATATTGTCAACATTTAAGTATTAATAACTATATAGTTATTGCTCACAAAATATGGGTTTTTCATGTTTTTCATTATTTAGAAACATTATGAAGTAAATGAAGAAGCACATCCAATACAAAGTAGATTGTTAGTTTACTATTTTTTTTTTTCTTTTTGGTATTCCTTGAAAAGCTTCCAAGGCTTGCAGAAAGGTTTCTGAGCAGGAGGTGGTTTAGCTGTAAATCTCACTGTGTGTTAGTTGTAAAATTAATGTTTCAGATGTACGATGTCTAGAAAAATATTCATAAGACAATTTTTATTTAGAAAGAAATCTCAACCATTTCTATGTAATGGGCCTAATTATCAACTCAATTACAGAATTACACCTTTAAGCCTGTCTCATTTCACATTTCTTAACCTGAAATTATTATGATTTTCATATGTATATGTTATTTCTTTACTTCCAGAGGTATGAACTCTTAAAACCACGTCAATTCCCTCCAGAGTTGAAGTACGTGGATTACAGTATACAAGTGAGCATGCAAGAATTCTTTGTGGTTCCTGAGAAGCTCTCTATTCCCGTGTTGGCATCTAGCAGAGTTAATTTGAAAGATCCTTCAGAAAAAGTGGTTTGGCCTGAGAAAATAGGTAAGAATGTTCTTAAATAGGATGGATTTTACTTATTCTCCCAGAAAAGTTGGTTTGCTAAGATTCCCTTAACATATTCAGAAAATGGTCGTTGTCTCCATTCTACTACTGCTCAAGTCCTCAGTCTTGTCTTTTTCATCAATATCCATGTTTTATCTTATTAGCTCAAAACAGCGATGTCCATGTGCTGTCGATTTTATCAACATAATCACAGCAGGATTGTTCTAACAGAGGAAATAATTTGGACTGTTTATCTGTCAGATTCTCAATTTGTGCTTACTTCTTTGTCTTCTGATGGAGGGCTGATCTATGCTCAAATTTTACCAGTTTTACTGCCTGTTCTTCTTATGTCCCTCCTCAGTCAGTCAGAGGGAAATGTCATCTCATTGTACACTCTTTGCTCCTGTTCTTCATTAATGAAAGGTTATGGGTCAGTCTTCACAGTGGTCTTGTCAGCTTTGGTTATTTTTCATAAACTTTTGACTATTCTTGTATTCTGTGTTTTACACTGAAATCTTAAATGTTTTTGCTTGGCTTCTGTTTTGGTCTCTTTTTTTTTTTTTTTGCTAGTTTTTTAAATGATTTATGTAAGCCTTAAAAACATTCTAGGTTGCATTTCATAAAAGAACTAGAACAATGTGTATGTTTCTATATACCCGATCTATGCATGCTTGTATCACAGTTAATGCATTGCACTATGGCTATCTGATAATAGCATAGAAAAATAATGTTTGGTTTTGCTGGTTGAAATTAAGTAGTTATTTATTAAAAGCTGTGGTACATTTATTAAAAGCTTGAAATATGGTCAGCCACTAATGTGAAAAATCCATAGATTCTTTTGATCACTTTTCATAAGTCTTGATCAGTAGACTCTTTCTGAAAGTTTCTGTAGTTCTCACTGACCTGTGGACCTGGTCATGTACTTTCATGGCCTGTGTTTGTTTTCATACTCATTATATGCCATGTGTGGTTTTTGTTTGTTTGTTTTGTTTTGTTTTGTTTTCCTTGGGGAAAATTAAAAGAATTTCTGTCAGTTCAGAAATTGTTCTGTTTATTGCAGTTCTGTGCACTGGGAACACTGCATACTGCACCAGATTAGAGACTGGTTTTGGAAAGCTATTGAAATGGCTTGATAGAGCAACACAGTTTATTATTTCATTTTAAGTCCTTTCCTAATACTAAAATGATGAATGTGATCTAAAGATGAATTAGAAGTGTTTGCAGTGAGACATGGGGAGATGGTCTTGCCTCAGTACACGGTATTGACAGAAGAACTAGTTCAGAAGTGGAGCTTCCTGTGTCAGAAGTTTACAGAAATTTGGAAATAATTGTGAAAAGATAAACCATAAGAATATTCCGGAGCTAGAAAAGAATGCTTAGGACAGGAGCAATTGCTTTGAATTCTGTGTGCTTCCAAAGCAGTTAAAGCACAGCCCCTGTTGTATGTCAGTATTACATGAGACAAATAGTCTGTGTTTACTGTATGTGGAAGGAGGTCATCTAGTGAAAATAACATTAGCACATTGCCTGAGGACACAGTTTAATGCTCAGCCCAGCTGCATTTCATACAGGTTATTAGGAAATCTTTCCTGTTCTTGAATTACAGCTTGAGAACTCATCCTCCTAAAAGTCACAGAATGTAACTTATAATTCTTTGCAAAGTAATAATTTTGGTTTGTAAGAAGACCACGTGCCACAGTGATTATTTACCATTGTCTTTGAATATGATCCTAAAAGGCTTTAGAAATTTCAGATCATAAGCAGTAGCTTAGGAAAGAATTTAGTCCTTTTATATAGCTCAGATTAAAAGCAATTGACAGTAAAAAAACTATGATGCTTATGTCAAAGGATAATAAATTTGAGTATGTAGAAACTCATGTAAAGCATATATAATCTTGAAATAAATAGTTTTTTTGTTCTTACCCATGGATGTTACTGGAGAATGAAATGAGAAGGCTAAAATGTCAATTGAAATTCAAATAATGTCTCCAGATTTTAAGCAACAGAGACATAGCATCCCAAAACATCTCCATGCTTCACCAAACAGACAATTTGCCAGTTTTCTTGGATGTAGCATGCGCAGAAATGCTTTGACTATCTTTCCTTGTATCTATTTATGTCTTTCCAGAACAAAATGAATGCAAAAAACAAATGGCTCTACCCCTTTATTTTCCAATTTCCCATCCCTTACCATAATCTCTTATTAATCAGGGAGTCATTCCCTTTGTGCTGGTGATAAAAGGAAGATGTGACCTTGAAGTTATGTGAGAAATAGTGCGATGGCTGATGCTAAGAACACAGAGACAGCAGTACAAAACAAAAGGGCCATAAGTCTTTCTAAAGTAAACTATACAGTAAAAGTTTCACAGATTGTTAGGTAGCTATAATGATAGGGTGACCTCACACGTCTTTTCTACTCTGTTTCCCTTTCTTTCCCAAGAAAGCTTCAACTTTAATAAAAATCAGAGATTGAGAAAGAGTTATGATAATTTTTCAGCAGCATAACCAGCAAGTTTAATTAAGTTGCTGTCATGCTGCACACAGTTCTTTTGCTATAGAACAGATTTTTATGTAACCAAGTTGTTTAATTGACTCATTGCCTATTTTTTTGCCATAAATCTTTGTCTATTCAAAAGAGAATGGGCGAGATCTAAATGTGGAAATAGCAAGATGCAGTTGTGTTAGGAATATATGTTTGCATGTTTTGTACCTGATGTTTATGTTGGAATGGGGGTTGGACTTGGTGATGTCTTGAGGTCCCTTCCTACCCCTGCTATTCTATGATTCTGTGATTGTAATTAGAAATGTTATATGCTCATTACTATATTCATTAATAATTGCAGAACAAATCAAAATTAAGTTTTAAAACATTATTTGACATACTTAATTCTGACTGTTTAATAGGCAATATATTTTTCAAGAATTTCTTTTTTTTTTTTTGATTTTTTATGCAGTCATATCGGATAGCTAAGTAAAAAATACCTACATTGTATCATCTATAATATGGATTTTTTCATGTTAGTAATATTTCCTAAACACTTCATATTCTTGAGAAATATGTTAATTTAAAATTTGCACTTTTTCATGTGGTCAACCTTACCTCCTGCTTTCTCTGACTTTTAAATGTCTTGTATACTTTCTCAGTATTGGTTTTAATCAGAGGAAAATTCTTTTTCTTTACCTCAAGCAATTTCCTCAGGCTTTAAATCTATTCTTTTATAAAGTGTTATCAGTAATTCTATTGTCTCATCCTAGTGTTCTGTGGTCCTCATGCTATATAAATTTTTCAGTATCCTAGTGGTTTTATTTTTGAAAGCATAAAGTCTTAATCTTTTTAAGCATAATTACTTAGTTACTGTCCGAAACGTGGATTTTGTTATATCTTCATTATACTGTTCATATTCTGAGACTTCACTCTAACTCTCGTGCTCACTTCTGTGATTTAACTGGGAGCACAGTAATAAAAATTTAATTACATTTGGTGGTCTTAATCATCCAGGATAGTGAGCCACAAATGGGATTAAAAGTGTAAAAGGTAACATTTCTTTTGTACTCTCCCTCTATGCAAAGAATTGATTTAAAATATTGTTCTGTTTCAAATTGTGGTTTTGAAAAATGGTGAAATAAAGTCTTTATAAATTTCATGGCAGCTGCATTATTGAAAAAATATATGTATTATATTATATATATATATTTGTAGAAAGTTGTTTTGGACTTGCATAAGAGAGATATAAAATATTAGACTGGATGATTTTCTTTGTTGTTTAATAACTGCAGTAGTGAATTCAGTGGAGAACACTTGTATTTGCTAGCTTTTTTGTTGTATTGTGAAAAACATATGGAAATCCTTTTTCTTATGCTGGTGTGTGAATAAGCTTTATGCTGTGGTGAAGAGAGTTATTAGTCCTCAGAAAATATATCAGAGTTTCTTCCACCTTGTTCCATCTTCAGAATTTAGTATTGTCCTCCAAAAGATTCAGTGAAACCCAGAATCTGCCTAGGAGAAGAATTTGTGGATAGAAAGGGAAGGCTTCACCCTCACTTGACAGATGAATCCTTTAGGGCTGAGGATGCTGATATATGATTAAGGTTTTTACCACTGAGCTCTAACAAATTCTTACGTGATTGTCAATGTCAAGGCTTATCTTCGTCTTTTCAGTCACTGTTACTTTTGTGAGACATAGAAAGTACTGCTTCTCTAAAGCCAGTAATAAATCTCATGTTCTGTGCCCATTTCTCATCACCACTAGACCTCAGAGGAGACCATTAGATGATTTAAGAAAGCACATTAGCTTTACTATCTTTCTTAAGTTATATGAAGGAAACTTTTTATTTGGATGGATTCCAGTTGCCCATTGGCATAATTTACTGTGCAGCCTGCTTTTTTCTATACCTTTCACAAGTATTCTCGACAAATACTGGGGGGCAATTATTTTATTATAAACTATTATAAACAGTTTATTAAAAAGCTAACAAACAAACAAACCCAAAACCCAACACAAAAGAAGCTTCGTTCTCCCTCATTGTGGTGTCACTCATCAATTTCTGAATTTGATACATGAGCATGACTGCTGAGTATTTGTGATAAGATTTTGCAAATGGTAATGACATTTTTAATTTTTAAATCAATTAAGAAAAAAAAACTGTTTTCTCTTTCCAGCATTATCTTGATTTTCTGATTGATCAAATGTATTTTACTGTTTGATTAGATTTGTAAGGATGTACTGCATTTATGTGGGAAAAAAATTAATAATCAGTTAGTGGGCTTCGTCGATATTCTTCTTCCTATGTGTTTAGATAAAGCTGAGAAAATGTTAGCAAATGAGCAAACACGATGATAGCAAAAATTTCAGAGCATGTCAGCAGTCATTAAAATATACAGAAGAGTGATTGTTTTTTCAAGACTAAGGGTAGACTAATGTTCTAAGTCAGATGACCTGATACATAAACAGAAGACAAGAGTGTAGCCTTTTCAATATTATATATTGGTTATTCAACCTTACAAGAGTCGATACTTGCAAATTCAGTCTTCAGGTTAATGTAGCCAATTCCTTGTGACATGCACAGTGTCAGAGGCTGAGGTAAGTTCATTGTGAAATTGAGCTTTTACTTTTAGAACAGATATTGCTGAATGAAAGCTAATAAGGTGTACAGCTGGTTGACTAACTGCTGAAGGCATGCAGTTTCCTAACTTCAGAAATTATTCCAACTGATTGTGGTATGAAAGAATAGTATTTCTCTTCTTTTTATTTCCCTCCTCCCACAGTTTGTAATTGGATTAAATAGGAATAAATCCACAAAGCACTTTTATTACTAAACGGTAGCATGTGTTTTTCCTTGATGTCCACAAGAAGTGACATTTTTCTTTGAAAGGTACTGTTCTTTGGCTGACACAGAAGATTAACTTTGAATTCAGGCCAGGCAGACCTAAAATGAGTGGTCATCAGATGACACGGGTGTTATTGATTCCAGATGGTGATCAGATTGTCTTTTGTACCAAGTAAATGGCATAAGATGCCAGGCAGTTGCCAGAGAACAAGACCAACACTTATGTCCTGTAAATTAGCTTTTCAAGAATGTGTGGTTCTACTTTCATAAGCACTGTTTTGACAGCTGTTTCACATCAAAATTCAATTCAGATTCAGAATCAGGTAAATGTTTCCCATAGGCATTTGCCTACCACAAGTCTATAAAAATAAACTTCTCATGAAGTGTTTTATTTTTTTAAAAGTCCATTGCATATAGATCATTTGACCAATATTTAGATGGTGAATCTTCCCTGCTCTTCTCAGCACAAGAATGTTCAAGCTGTTGTTCCTTCTCAACATTTTTCCATTATCAGAGAAAAGACAGCTATGGGAAGAGTGCTCTGCTTCACCAAATGAACTAAGAGAACCTAAGATTGGAGCTTAGAGTAAAAATAAAGGCACCACGACTGCAGCAAATTAAGTAGGACACTCACAAGAGTAGGAGAATCCAAAGCTAATGGTTCAAGAGCTGTTTGACTATTTCATATGAGATATGTTCCCATAAAATAATAAATATGTTCTTTTGGGAGGGAAAATGTACCAGAAACTCGTATTGTTGGCTTGATTTTTCACCATCAGAGAAATGCTTCCCTTTCACTGTCAGAGGAGTGATTGCTTCAATTCAATTCCATGGATACAGGCCCTGCTGCCTGTTACATGGAAATAAGGCAAGTGCTGCTGGCCTTCGCTTACTGTTTCTACATTAGTCTCAGAATTTATGAGTCCATTTGTGACCCTGTGGATTACTTTAATCTTTGAATTACATAATTCCTAATTAATTTTAGCAGTGTATTTTACAGGACTGAGTAAGAAGAAAACATGTTAAGATAAGACATTTTTAAGCCCAGTTTGCCTGATGACATTTAAAATTTGCATTTAAAATTGATTTTTTTTTTTTTCCCAGGAAGAAAACCACCTTCATTTATAAATCACAGACGTGGTTTCTGTAATCATTTTGATGCAGAGGTTGTCTCACTACAGAAACCATATCTTACTGTACAAAATACTTACTTTGTTAAATAAAAATGATAAAAAGACTTTTCATTTCATTGGTCATTTCAAAGAATCAAGTAACTTATTATTCAGTGTTATTTTTTATGCACAAGAAACAAATATTTTGATAAAAGAATTGACAAATTAAATATTGTTAATGTGGAACAGAATGATTGTTTTTTAATTTTTCTGCAGGAGGCATTACCGATTGAAACTTAAATGAAAGACAAAAATCAGTTCAATAGAGTTAAAGAGACCCTTGATCATTAGTAATACAAATTTCCGCTTAGTGCACAAAGGAATTCACAAAGAAGTATTTTGGAGCTTCCAATGCACTGTGTTACCTTTCTTTAAATATGTTTTAATTCTGTTTTATCTTGAAATGTGAGTATTTTAAATAAGCATTTAAAATTTGAAGAATGCATTTTCTTTCAATGTCCTAAAATAATTATTGTAGAAGAAGAAAATTCTTCATGAACTGAAAAATGGACACTTCTATCCTTTGCATAACTGGTAAACTCAGGTCAGCTTCACTGGAAGATAGCCAGTAGGGATAATAGTTTGGTGACAAGATAGAATTAAAAGTAATAATTCAAAAATTACCAGGCCATTAATCTTGTCTGTAAAAGAGAACAAGCTAATTTATTTCATAGAGGGTTAAACCTGTGGTGCAATTTATAATCTTTTTGATGGCCTAGTAATGTGAAAAAATTAATAACATCATTCAGTATGATTTGTCTCTTTAACTTGTGCTATTCTTGTGTAAAAAACTGAAGTACAGAAGACATAAGGCAAGAAGAAAGCTTCAGTTTGCTGTTCATTGCGGGGAGGGGAGAACTGAATATATGAGGAAAACCACTTCATGAAAGAGAATGTGCAGCACTGCAGATGAAGATTGATTGCACTTTCAAAATTCAGTGCTTGTCACTGAAGATCATGTACGGTTATCTTACATAACATCAGAAAATAAGCCTTAATAAAGGACTAAGGGAAACCACAAGAATTTGTCAGGTGTTGTCCTGCAGGGAGAAATGAATTGTTTATAGAGTTTTATCTGTGAGGTTCTGTTGTGTCATTACATTGTCTCAGACCTTTCTCATTATCTTTTCCAACAAGGGCTTTTGGCATTAGTTTTTTTTATCTGGAAAACACTGAAAATAAATGATCTTTGTTAAATATAAAACAGTGAAGTTGTCACAACTGCAGTTTTAATTTTTTTGAGGTGCCTAGAGTCTCTTAGGGAAGGTTGAATGGGAGAATTTATTTTTGTGGCCAGTCGATGATGTTTGTCACATGCTTTCCCTTCTGCTTTGTAAAGTGTTCTATAAGGGCTAGTGAAGGGAGTGAGATGTTGTGAATGTCTCTGATCCTTTCTGTAAGCAGGAGCAGAGGAAAAAGTCTGGGCAGATTACAAATTTAGACCTGAATATGTTCAAATGTGGACAGAGTTCACATGGCTTTTTCCTTACTCTAGACATTACTAGGTTGACTTTTTCTTACATACATACAGAATTTTATGAATCTGTACTAACTTGAACACTTCTGTCATTTTTTGGAAACCCAGACTTTCAATCCAAAATTGAGCATAGGAAATGTCTAATAGGAAGCTCTCATAAGAACTACTAAACTTAGCAGGATTCCCATTACTGTTGAGGCTACCAAATAGGGTCTGTTCTCTCCAATCTCTCCTGCTAATTGTTGACTAAAGTATTCAGTAGTATCTAGTGTACTGTTTTGATATCTACAAAAGTTCTTATGCAATAAACTTTTCTACTATATCTGTTAGGTTTAATAAATCTTTAAAAAAAAAAATTATCTCTGTGCGCAGCTAAAGAAAATAGAAAATGGTGTTTGAATGTTTAAATATACCTTTATTTTAGGAAAATTAAAGTTCTGATAATGATGATAATATTTCTAAGATTCCATTGTTCATTTCAAATTATTTTATGTACTGCTAGGAGGAAGCTTCCACCATTTGCTGGAATTCTTCCCAAATCCTGTGCGTAAATTCCATGTTTTGCAACACTGCATGTATTGTTTTGTTTGTTTGTTTTTAGGCAGAACTGATGCAGTTGAGCTTCCTATAAAATTCATTCCTCCGGGTCCTGGTTGCTACCACTGTCAGATTCTCCTGAAGTCCTCATGGGATTTTCGTGTCTATGTGATTGAATGTGTAGTGAATACAGATGATGTTGAAGCAGAGATTGAATTTCTAACTCCAGCTTACCAGGCAGTGATTCAGAATATTCCAATTGTAAGTTCACTTTACTGTGACAAACTAAATTAAGATTCAGGAATTTAAAAAGTGAACTGTTGATCAATACAGTTAAAACTCAGTATTGCAAAATCCACAAAAGCATTTAAATACTGACTTGGGGTATTATTAATTGAAGTCCGTATTGGATGTAATGTAGAGCTTATTGGGAAAATCTGTCAGTTTCTGACAGTTCTTAGAGTAAAGATACCAAGGGAAACTTTGAAGATGCATCAAGGGAAGGTCAGGTTGGATGTTAGGACAATTTTCTTCACCAGAGGATGGTCAGGCCCTGGAACACTCTCCCCAGGGCAATGGTCATGTCTTCGAACTGCCACGTTCAAGCAGTGTTCAAAGACTGATGACCTGGTAGTTTTAGAACTATTCAGGCCTGTTTTCGAAAGGATAAAGTTGTTCCTGACGTGGGGGAAAAAATGCATGAGAAGAATAATCTTCTGTCGTCTTTTTCTCACTTTCATTTTGTTTTCACCATGAAGATACTGAGATAAATTACTTTTTTACTTTCATGCTTTTTACCAAAGATGTTGCAATTATTATTATTACAGAATTGGAGATCACAGTAATAGAATTATTTTGAAAAAACAAGGCATTGTATGAATCTCAAATTTCCAAACAGGCATTTGTGCTCAACTACTATGAAATTTACTTGTTAACATCTAAGTTACTTTGTTCTTATATATTAATCCAAGCCTAGATACATGATGTTGCAGATCTCATGCCATGCTAGTAAGTTACCTCTGATGATCGTAGTTGGTGATATTTCTTTATTTCTAAGGCTGAGACAGCTGAGTTAATTTAAGAGACTTTCAAAGATGAAAGCCAGAATTGGAATGGGTATAGTCCCTATTCTCCAAAATCCAAATCTTACCTCTGGCATTTATCTTCATTCTGTGTCAAAGGATTACTTCATTTCTTTCACTGAATAGGCCAATCTTCTCTGTTTTGACAAGGCTGGTATTAGCTCTTGAGTTCAGTTTATTTTCTCCTTTTCAGATTGATATTTATTTTTTTGCAGATTGGATTCTTGTTTGCCTGAACAGGATTATTTAAATATAACTATATTTTTATGCGGTCCACAAACATTTATTACAAAATATCTCACTTCCTGCCGTAATCAAGCAGTCCTGTGATATGTCTATATGCAAGACAAAACATGTTTCTTAAACAGGGCTTCATACTACCTGGCATAATCATTCTTTAAAATAGATCAGTCTCTTGAAAAAACAGTTTCTGAGAAAACAGGACTGTAAGTACTCCTTTGGGAGACAGTCTTTAATTAGAAAGTGAGACTGGTCCTGTAGTACAGTAAGTGGCAAAATGAGGTAATATGTGTTAGTACACCACATCAACACTTTTAAGAGATTTGCTAGTGTTATCCACAGATGCAAAAGAAATAGAATTTTGGCAACCATTAAGCAGGACCTTAAAGATGCATGTAAATGTTTTAATATTACTTATAAATTCCATCTTGACCTTTGGCTATATCATGAATTTTTATCTAACAAGTCTTGCTGACAGTATTGATACTGATAGTATTGCTAGTAACTCTGTTTTCCTGGAATAAGGGATTTAGAAGGTGCTCTGTTCCAATACTTTGGGAAAGAAAGAGAACCATGCTCTGATTTGATTATAACTGAGAGTAAAAGCTGAAATGCATATTAAGAACTTTAAAAGCATGATCTAATCTATGTCTTTACTTTTATTTCAGAGAAACATGTCTAGCCAGGACTGGAAACTTGAAGCAGTTTTGGAAGGACAAGGCTTTTCTGGCCCTCCTTCAATAAATGTGGGTCTAGGTGAAATAGCTCTGTATCCTATCATGTTCAAGCCAATTGCTGAGTGCTTAACAATGGTAAGAAGGAAATTAGTTTGAAAGTGTTTAAAAATAAAGCTTTTTAAAATAAAATTTATTTCAGACTCCAGCTTATGAAAGTGCTTCATCAACTGCTAGCATTAAGTATTTGCTTGAGAGATTTTATTTCACCATGTAAAGAATGAAGTAGTAGTACTGAGCCTTTTTCATTACAACATAGGTGAGATTTGTTGATAGTACCCTGCTGTATCATAAAATAATTTTATAAGTTAAGCTACTACTTAGAAGTGGCTTTTGCCATCATAGTAATTGCTATTCTGAATGCTAAAACTGAAGAGAGGAGACTATGATGCCTTTAAAAAGAATCAGTGTACGTATTTTTTATTTATACAATAGCTGAGACTTTGTCTGCAGGATGCAATTTAAATTTGTGGATCATCAGAGACAAAAACAAATTATTCCGTGAAAGATTAGTAATTCATCTGCATAAATTACCTACGAAATGTAATGCATTATGGTAATCCAGTATTATAAAAGTATTAAAAGCCAAAAGCCCTGAGTCCTTTGATGACTAATAATCGTGAAGAACATTTTAGCTGAAGGACAGATTAGGTGATTGAGAAAAATTATATTTTATGTGAGGATTGGGAATGGATGAGAAGGTATTTTCTTGGGTGTTACATTTGTTTTCCAAGAAGAGGCCTAGAAGTACTGGGATTGTGAAGGCTTTATTTTGTTAAAGTTAATAATTTAGAGAAATTAAGAAGAAAAGCATTGTTTCCTTAATTTTCTTCTGTTTAACAGAGTAATTTACATAAGAGGTAGGAAACTTATCTGGAATCTTACCTGTATGTTTGCTTTGTTGCCTGGATTTTATAATAGTAGACTGAAGCAGTTGATTTGGCTGCCAAATGAGACTTTTACAGTGCTGAAACTTTTATTCTTCTTTCTTCATCATAGGGAAAACTTATTCTTCAAAATACTACAGGTGGCACTGAAAGCATCTTTAACCTTAAGGGAATTGGGAAGAAACCTCTGGCACAGGATCATATTGTAATAGATTGCCAAGTGAGACAAGTTACTCAACAACTACTGTGGGTGCCCAATTATACCAAGAACAGGTTAACATACAAGGTAAACTTTTGCAATAATATGACAACTGTTTTTCTGTCCACAGGCCTAAAGATTGTGTATTACAATAGCCAATATCATTGCCATTGCTGATATGCTATTAATATTCATGTATCCATGTATGTATCTAAACACATCTGAAATAACACTCTGTTCATTAACTAGTCATTCCTCCTCCAATGTTTTGAAACCAGTGGCCAATTTCATTGTTTTAGAAATCAGAGAACGGGTTTGAGAATACAATGTTTCTGAAGTCTTTATAAAGCATTGAAATTTTACAGAAATTGACAAAATTATTATCCATCTATGGGAAAGTTGGGCAGTATGCACTCACTGTGTATCTGTCCCTAATAGCCTGCTGGCCTGGCCTGTCAGTGCTTGCAGCTCCTGGAAACGTTAGGGCAGTTAGTGTCTTTTGCCAAGATGTTGTTTCAGGGATGCTGGAGGAAGCTGGGAATACTTTGTGCAAAATTAGAAAATTAGAAGGAAATAAATAACTGGAATTGTTGAAGGATAGTGGGCCATGGCGAAGATGGAATAGGAGATGCTGAGCTGTTTGTGAAGAGGAGCATAACATATAAATACATAGAAAATACAATTTTTTTTTTCATTTCCCTGATCAAAAAGATATTTTTTTGTATATAACTTATATACAAAAAAACTTATATATATAACTTTGTATATTTTTAGTTTCAACTGTTCTAGTTAAGCATATCTTATGATTGTAATTACACAAATATATTTTCTAATTGAAAAACACTTTTGCATTACTGCAACAGAACAATTTTCCTACCATTTCTCTCATCAGTGTGTTTAATCTAAGTTGAGAAAAGTGTATCAGTAGTTTTCCTTGCCTTTCCCCTGTATGTCTAGGACACCATGTCACATGTCAGCAGAGGCAGAGTGTACATAAGGAAAAAAAGAAAGATGGCTTCCATTTTACTTGTACGCTGCAGAAAAGGTTCTCTAGCAGAGAAAATCTTGAACGTTAGTCAATGAAAACTTGAGCAATTTTTTTGGGACTCTGTTATATCATTTAAAGCTAGAGCAGATATATTCTGTATACTCTGTTTATGTATATATTTTCATATATAGACATATGCTTTTGAATTTTTTTTAGATAGAGAGAATGGGGAGAATGTAGACTCATAGATAAATCTGACTATTAACTAATGTGGACTTGTGAAATGAATGGTCTTCTGTTCTCTGTCTTTTTGTCAGTATAAAAAACTTCTCCTTTTCTCCAAATTGCACTTATCAGTAGAGAGCGTTCTTCACCTTATTTTGTAAACAGAAATCATGAACGTATGAGTGGCAGTGTTCTATTGATCTGATGGGAATTCAGAACACTGTGAAATCCTTCTTCAAACTTTCTCCTGTCTCCGATTTTACACCATTCAAGGAAAAATTTGAATCACAGAGTGGCTTGATTTGGGAGGGACCTTAGAGATCATCTAGTTACTCAGAATCTTCAGACTATGAGACTATGAGATTAACTTAAATTTACATTAAATAAAATTTACATACTATAAAATGGAATTTCAGGGTTCTATAAGTGACTCTACTTTTTAACCCGCAACGCAAAGTAGAAAATATATTTTTGTGCATCACCAGCTTTGACATTTTTCTTTTCAAGAATTCCAGCTTTTTAGATGTGAATGCATTTACATTCCTAATACATTTGTACTTTTTTATCCAAAAGAAGTGAGTGTTTTTGAAAGTTGACAGCACTATTTCCTCTGGTTTTCCATTTTGTGTGAACTCAGTGTTTTTTGTGCCAGTGAAACACACTCAGATATCAAACTTCAAATGAATGCATTAAAATTATTCACCATGTGTCTTTTTCAGAAAAGCAGCATTAGATTATTTTATGACAATTGTAGATATTTTAGAGTGAGGTGAGCCTAACTGAATGAAGCTACACTGCTTTTAGAGTGGTCTCTGGGTAGCACATATTAGCTGTTGTTATTTTTTGTTTGTTTATTTGTTTCAGGGAGTTTATGTTTTGTTTTTACTTCTCTGAAGTACCACTATACAGTACAATCATTTCTAATCTGAAGATCCAGGGAAGGTAGCCTGTGTCACATCAATTAAAACTTTTAGGCTCCATCTCAGAGTGTGCTCTTTTAGACAGTGGACTTTTGGGAGAGAAGTATTAAGGCCAGCTACAAAAAATTCATGCTTGAATGCATTAATGAGGGTGAATCATATATTTTCTGTATGCTAAGTTTTACTCAGAAATTGTTACAAAACTGCTGTTGGAGAAAAATAAGCTGGGAAACAGCATGATTACAAAACAGGTGTTTGGAGACTGCGTTCTCAAAAAAACAAACAGTATTTACACTTCCAGTACTCACTAGCAGTTGTCACGCAGTATATTGTGCTACTGTTTAGAGTGAAGATCATTTTCTCAATTTTAAATTCAAAAAAGTTGGTCTTCAAATTAGTAAGTTGGTCTTTTAATCAGTTATTCCAGAATGTGATCACCATTATCAACTGTTATTAGGAGAAAGGGGAAAGCCTCCTTTAAAAGGCAATTGTGACCAACAAACTTTTTTGAAATGTAAAATAAGGACTATTTATTTATCCAGAAGCATATAACACAAAGGGTGATGGATAAAAGAGGACTGGATGCATTAAACAATTAACTTAATAAAAGCTCATTTTAGCATTATAATTTCATTATAATATTAATTAGTGTGTGTATATGTTGCCCTATTTCTCAGTAATCATTGTTTAAATCAAATAACTTGAACATAAACAACAGCACTATTGCACAAATGGCTGTTGAAAATGGAAGGTAAGCTTAGGAGAAGGGAGAGGGAAAATTTATTCCTTTTTCTTCATTAAGAAGGCCCTTTTCTCTCTGAATAGTAGATGCCTTTACTGTATCTAACACATACACAACTCATTTCTGGAGCAGCAGTAATATATGGGCTGTTCGTCTGTGCAACCACTGGTATGTATCAAGAGAGTCGTGGCCTTTGGAAAGTGCTGATTTTGTGTCTCTGTCAGTCTACCTTTAAAATACTAAGCAAAATATTTTCAGTACCTGCAATATTTTCCATTATTAAAAAGACGATTTCCATAGAATCATAGAATGATTTGGGTTGGAAGGGACCTTTAAGATAATCTAGTTCCAACTCTTCTGCTGTCAACAGGGACACCACCCTCTAAACTAGGTTGCTCAAAGTCCCATCCAGCCTGGCCTTGAATGCCTCTAGAGTGGAGGCATCTGCAGTCTGTCTGGGCAACCTGTGCCAGTGTCTCACCACCCTCACAGTAAATAATTTCTTCCTAATATCTAGCTTAAATCTACCTTCTTCCTGTTTAAAACCATTTCTCCTTGTCCTGTCACTACATGCCATTATAAAAAGTCCTCCCCGGCTTTCCTGTAGGCCCCCTTCAGGTACTGGATGGCATAAGGTCCCCTCTGGAGCCTTCTCTTCTCTAGGGTGAAGAGCCCCAGCTCTCTCAGCCTGTCCTCATAGGGGAGATGCTCCAGTCTGCTGATCATCTTTGTGGCCCTCCTCTGTATCTGCTCCAGTAACTGCATGCCCTTTTTGTTTTGGGGACTACCAAATTGGATGCAGTACACCAGGTGGGGTCTCATGAGAGCAGTGTAGAGGGGCAGAATCACCTCCCCTGACCTGCTGGTCACACTTCTCTTGAACCTAGGATACGACTGGGCAGCAAGTGCACATTGTTGGCTCATGCTGAATCTTTCACCACTTGACGCTCCCAAATCCTTCTCCTCAGGACTGCTCTCAAGCCATTCTCTGCCCAACCTGTATCTGCGCTTGAGATAGCCCTGACCCAGATGCAGAACCTTGTACTTGGCCTTCTTGAACTTCATGAGGTTGGCATGGGCCCACCTCTCAAGCCTGTTCAGTTCTCTGGTTAGTGCATCCCTTCCCTCTAGTGTGTCAGTTGCTGAGTAGAGTCGTCTGCAATCTTGCTGAGGTTCCGCTCGATCTCACTGTCCATACCACCTACAATAACACCTGTCCTAACACTGATCCCCGAGGAATGCCACTTGTCACGGACCCCATTTGGACACTAAGCCATTGACCACAACTCTCTTAGTACAACCATCCAGCCAATTCCTTATCCAGTGAGTGGTCCAGCCATCAAATAATGCAGGACAGTGTCAAATTCTTTGCACAAGTGCAGGTAGATGACATCAGTTTCTCTTCTGGTGTAACTCCATCATAAAGGGCCACCAGGTTTCTCAGGCATGTCTTGTCTTAGTGAAGCTATGTTGATTGCCACCAATCACCTCATCTTCATTTACTGTGTGCTTTAGTAGGGCCTTCAGGAGGATCTGCTCCAGGGTCTTGTCAGGCATAGAGGTGAGACTGGCTGGCCTGTAGTTCCCTGAGTCTTCTTTTTTTCCCTTCTTGAAAATGGGGATTATATTTCCCCTTTTCCAATCACCAGACTGCCATGAGCTTTCAAATATGATGGATAGCAGCTTGGCAACTTAATCTGCCAGTTCCCTCAGAACCCATGGATGGATCTTGTCAGGTGTTATGGTCTTGTGCACCTTCAGGTTTTTTAGATAGTCTTGAACCTCATCTTCATGTACAGCAGGCAGATCTACCTTCTCCAAGTTTTTACCATTGCTTTTTGCAAGATGTGTCTAGAGCCCTTGCTGGTGAAGACTGAGGCAAAGAAGTCATTGAACACCTCAGCCTTCTCCGTATCCCTCATCACCAGGTCTCCAGTTTCATTCTGGAGAGGGCCCACATCCTCCCTGACCATAAATTTCCTTGAAAAAATGAGAAAATTTTATGAACCATTTTATACAGATTCAAATACTGCCACTGAGCTCTTCATGGCCTGATCAACAGAATATTAAAACAAATAGACTTCCTCATTATTAACTTACCACTGTGTCTGAAAAAAACATAGCAAGAGCACTCATAAAGAATTTTTGCATGTAGATTGTTAGCTTGAGAGCGCATACTTATCTGATGCTGAATTAATATAAGATTAGTGAT